CAAAGTCTCATGTCGCTATGAAGACAGACGTTCGCGAGGATTGATCCGAGTTCGGTGGGTAGTGGATTCCGATTATATGAGCGGACAACAACGCGGACTTGCACCGAGCGGCGGCGATTTCATCCGGAGGGAGTCTCCAACCCAGAAGCGATCGACGTACAATGCGGGGAAGAGCTGGATTCGTACTTTTTCGGTCGGATTTCGATCGAGTGGCTGCGCTGGGTCGAGGGAAACCCCAGACAAGTCTTGAGCGGATTCCGCTCACTCTGTCCGACCGACGAGTCATCAGTCCCCTGGACGATCCAGAGAAAGTACACGTTTCATCAGAAGCTGCGGCTGACCACGAGTCTCGCGGCCCTCTCCTTCGCAGTGAAGACGTATTCAGATTCTGAACTTTCGTTCTCGCCCATCTGCGGGCCAAGAACGTCAAGCTCGGTCCAATAACTTATGTCGACACTGGCCGTTTAAACTCAGAAGAGCAATGTTATATTTCGCAAAGCACCACTTGAAACGTGATTCTCGCGCACCGCCCGCTCTGTGGACATCACACGCTTTCGTTGCGAAGGGCTTCCAACAAACACTGCTGATGGCGGTGTCAAGATTTGTGCAAACACCAGAAAATTCTGGTACCGTTCTGTCAAACGGCCAACAAGGCTAGAACAGTCACCCTGTCGGATACCGCTGGAACAGCCGAGCGCCGAGCCTGTGATACTTCCGTTTTAAATTCAATCAAATCAAATCCGACCTGTCAACGTGTATGTCGGAGGTCAGGATGAACGTCGAAGCGAGGGCGAGTTCCCGAGACAAGGGCGCGCATGGAAGGAGCCCTGAATCTATTCGAGGAGTCGGCTACATCTTCCTCGAAGATAAAAAGGCTTTCCTTGTTTTAGATATCCCGGCACTTTAGAGCAATGAAAACATCGAGCGATCGAGGTCGTCCGCGGTATAATCTGTGAACGATTCTCCCTCGAGGGCGTTCTCTTGAGGTCATACAGCTTCCGACACGACAATGACATCTTCTATCTTGACAGATCTATCTCGGGCGTGATCTCCGAGAGTCTCCTGCGCGAATGGTGTTCATTTTTCCAATACCAAGCGAATGTCCCTCTCTTGACGACAGAGCAGGGGATACGCGCCTCGCTCCCCTATCGACCGAGGTGCTCGAGAAATTTGGCTCCATAACCCGACACCGATCCGCGCCACGGAGCGCGCCTCGAGTTGAAATAAGCCGACTTATTTTGACCGTCTTCCTCATGTATTCGCTCTCCGTTCGAACAAAAGAAGACATCCAGAAAGTCGTCCAGCATGGAGATGAGCTTATTCTTCATGCTCACTCCGGGATGTAGACTCGACTGTATTGACTTATGGGTCTTCTTCGTTACACAAACATTCATTCGTTCACATGGGCCAAACAGACTGACGCACTTGTCCTTGTCTCGCACACGATTTGGTGAGATCACGCGCGTGTTCTCGAGAGCTCGGGCGAGCTCCCTTTTCCCTGCGAGATTATGTGAACTCTTCCTCCGGCCGAACCGCATCGCTGCATCGATGGCCTCTGATGGACAACTTCAACCATAAGGTTGACACGATCGAAGCTCATGAAAAACCAGGAGCGTCGCGATCAGCCCCCTTACACCGTCCCTCGCGAACGGAGGTGCGACGTGCTCGCGCTCCGCGACAAGTTCTCAGCCGGCAGACACGCACGGCAAGCGGAACCGACGAAACAGAATAACTTGCCTAGATTTTGCTGCTGTCTACCGATATCCTGCTCAGGCCCGATGAGATAATGAAGACATGAAACGCTCAGGCGGCGTCTCCGACTGATCCCGATGGTGAAGCTCCGGTACCGAATACGTGTCTTGACGGCGCGCTGTGAAGACGAGCTCATCAAATAAACGCGACATCTCTCCCATGGGAGGAATCCGAACGAGAACAATAGGGCGGAAGCGATCAGACCGAGTCTTGTTCCTGCAGTCCGACACAGAACACATCGCGATACCGGCAGAGCCGTCCTAATCGATCCTCACCGCCCTCTTCCCCGATGACAATCGAATATTCGCTCAGTCCGGAATTTCGCCGAAAACGGCATTCTCGAAGCTCCTATCTCCTATCTCCCGCCTTCTCTCCCTCCTCCCTGTAGCCTCGATCCGATCCGGCAATATACGGAGGTCTCCCTGCCAGAATGGAAGATCACAATATTTCTCCTCGTCCAGCGCTCAAACGAACCGGTGCAAAATAAGTGTTCTGTTGATAATCTCCAACAAGCAAGGGGCCATTCCAAAAATACAATCGAGGTTGGCGAACACGCTCACTGAGCGCAGTCGAGTAATGCATGTGACAGAGCGACGATAGACCCCGCGCAAACTCATGGAACAACTACACAGATACTCCGTATTTCGCGACTAGGCACCTGTGATCTTGATCCGCCGAGTACTCTCAGAGAGCGTCGAATTCGAGAACATGAGCTCGGAATGCGTCGGTCGCTAATGACGTGACGATTCCCAATAAGCCTCGACGCTAGGTCAACGAAGTATGACCGAATGCTTCGCGAGTTTTTCCCGTTGATCGAATGAGCGTCTCATTGTCACAGGGTTAGCGCAGCGAGTCGCACACAAAACTCCAGTAGCCTTCTCAGGAGGCTCCGATGGAGTGGATTCGTCCTAGATCTAGGTGACATGGCTGATCGCTGGGTGGTAGAAAGAGGAAATCTCAACATACCCGACAAAACGAGACGATGCGAGATGGCAGGCGAACGCCGCTGGTGAACACGAGCTTTAGATTTGAGGTGAGAGGCCGGTGCAGAGTAAACGACGTCGTCTCTCTCAATCTATTCGCGCGCAGACACCAAACATACTCGGAAACTCGTGTACGGTCGGAATTGAGACGTTTCTCTAGACATGTGATCGCGTTATGCGAACGACGCGCTCTTCGTTTGAAGTCTTGTTACGGATTTCTCCTCCGTTTCGAGTCGGAGGGGGTTCCACGCTTTTCCATGAGCAGACCATCAGACTCGAGAAGGAGTCGTTCACCGAGAACATAGCGGTGAACGCAATTAAAGAGACAGAGCCCATTCTCGAGTCCTCGTGCCCGACTGATGGAAGACCGGGGTCTGACCGAGACCCTCGAGGGGGAGTTCACCGGGAAATATGGAAAGCTGATCAGAATGAGCTGCAAGAGGCTCTAGCGGCAGGACTTCCCTCGCTTTCAATCCGGCACCGCGCGACACTCTTTTTTCCATGCGGGACTTCTGCAGAGCCGGTTGTCACCGCAGCTAATTCTCCCAACACCAATCTGAAACCGCGGTCTATCAACGGACGTGGCCCATCATCGGCGTCCAAGGAAGGACATTCTGCTCGAAATCGAGTCTCCCGATGGATGCTTGATGTATCATTGGCTGGCAGAGTTGCTGCCCATGGAGAACAAATTATGGAAACAGCCGCCCCAAAGATTACGCATCCGGAACCATACGGATTGGTTTCGAGGAGCGCTCTCTGGCGCGTATTCTATACTTCCGCTGAAGCCCCACAAGAGAGTTTCCTGCTTCGATGCTCGATTCCCCGGCAGAGACTTCCTTCCTCGATTCCTCCGGCCCGTCGCTACACCGACGAAAACGACGAATTCCGGAATTCTTGACGACAGCTTCAGCCACGTCGCGGACTTCTCGACCTCTCGGATCCGGTCTCGCCGTGAGACTTCGATACGTTTTTGACTCTGCTGTCGAGTGTAAGCTACCATGGAAATAGACCAGTACGTCGCGACAGGTTGTAATTTGGGTGCAGTTCTTCTGATGATCACCGTCGTCTTGTATATCAAATACGAAACGAAACATCGATACATCATCCATCAAAAGGAAGGAGACCGCCTCAAGGAGCCTTGTAAGCCGATCCCCAGGGTGAACTTAGCCAGGACGCGAGGGTCGAGAGACTTGAGGAAGAGGTTTCTTCAATAGCTACCTGCTTCAAGCATCCCCTCCGCGGGAATCGCCTGGTGCATTCGAGTCGATGCATGCCTCTTGCCTCGTGAACTGTCGTACTGGAGATGTACACTTTTTTTCGATAAACCAAATTCGAAATTTTTGTGGTCCGAAATTAATTGCAACCGTGAGGATTGAGCCCGCGGGAAAATGTTCCAAGGCGGGGGAACGACTGATATTTTCGAGGTCCGCAGTCGAACTTCACCATTTCCTTTCCTTCGATTATTCACCGTCTGAATTAGATTCTGAGAGCTTCGAGCTTGTTTCGAGATCATTCCGATACGCCCGTCGATTCGCCGCATTCTGTAAAACCGCCGTCAAGCGTGATCATCTCTGACTCTAGAGACTACATGCAGGTGATGGATCGAATGGCCACTTGGCCAAAAATGTTCGGCGGGAATGTTCGAGCCTGATAGTGGTCAACACTCGGTCAGAAAAGAGAAAACGCTCAGGTTGATCGCAGTCTCCAAACCGTCGAGCGTTAGCTCAGGCAGCATGATTCAGGATGATCGAGAGACCCCCCACAAGAATCACGCAATCTCCACTTGCGGATATCTCTGATTCCGGACCACCTCAGAAGCATATATAAACCATCGCAATCTCGATCAGGAGCTGTCAGTTGTAAGCGAAAAAGATCGTGGTAACTCAAAATGAAGATTCAACTCGGTCTCGCTTTCCTCTTCATCCTGTCCCTGGTTCAAATGAACGGAGCAGCCAAGACGACGAAGAGGGCGCCAACCAACTTCATCGATTACGCCGGATAGGGAACTGTTGTATTCCATGGCGGACCTCACGGCGGAAATTTCGGTTTTTTGAAGCACAAGAAAGTGAGCTCGAGGGCAAATAAAGCTTCGTTGGAGGTTTCCCGCTGGACTCATTGATTTCGTCCTCAGAGGCATCCCGTGAATCCGCTTCGTGGGGTTTAGCGGGTTTTGCCCCCCTCCTCGAAGAGATGCGACCGAGCAGCGGGAAATTTCCCTTCCAGGAACGATCATTCCGCCAGAGAGCGGCCACTCCTCGTACCCACCTGTGCATCCTGTCTATCTCTCTTAGCGGAGGCCACGTCCTTCGCGGCTCCAGGAGGATCGATTCCGATAAATGTCACTTCGTCTTGCAAGATCAGCGGCCGGTTGTTGGTAGTCCCCTTAGAGCTGTTATTGTCAACACCATTGACGGCGTCGTCGTCGTTGTTGTTGTCGAGAGCCTCTGCAGCGTTCTCCCGGTTCTCCCGCTCGGCAGACTTACTGACCGCATGTATGCCCGCGCCGTTCTGATGTTCACCGACCTGACCGCTACCGGACACTGGTTCGAGTTTTTGGCTTTCCGACGTCATTACTTTTCCTCACACAAAAGCTGATTATTTCGAATTGGCGGTGGACTTGTTTTGGCCGATCGTCGTCGGACGATGTGTGCTCAGCCGGACTCCTGGGTCACAAGTGTTGGATCTGGGCAAGTACCACCGGCAGCCTGACGAACAACGTTGCTCTCTCGAGGAGCAGACGGCTGAGTTCAGCGTTGATCAAACAACATGCCCACAGAGAGTTTCCGACGAGCGTTTGTTCGTCCGTTCATCCACACGCACTCTCGCTCGCACACTCACTCACTCTTTAACATGCCAAGCAGCCAGCCTTTTGCCTTTCTTACCGGCTCGGCGAAAATGGCTAACTAACTGACTGACTGGGTTGGACTCGACGCCCAGGTTCGACACATGTTGTTTTTACCGGAAGCTCGGTCCGCTTCCGCACGGGCTCCATTATGCCTAATTGAGTTCAAAAGTCCCCGTCCACCTGCTTTTTTTAGTCGCAATGCTCTAGAAGTTTGATCGGGGAGCCCTCTTCTTCCTGACAGGGATTTTGGTCGAATGAATCGGCCTCCCACGCTGCACTTTCGCCGATAGAATTTTTCCAGAGAACGGGGTTCCGTACTCAACATTTTCGCCGATAGAATTTTTTCATTTTCAATCCAGGTTGTCTGGCTTCCGTCTTGAATCGCCTCGAATAGATTCTAATTCGTTTCTGACTTCGATTTTCACTTCCCCCGTTCTTCTCCATGTCGTTTCCTTTTCGCTCTAGCGGAGTTTCTCTCCCCAGAGGCCTGAAATGTTATCAAACTGGCATTGGATGTAGCGGTTCGAGAGCACGGCTGAGGAATCTAGAAGTGTGCTCATCACCAGCTTTATTTTCTTCTTGTCAAGTCAATTAATGCGGACACTGTAAAGACCGGAGAGAGGCACAGAGTCGAGATTCGTTCCTCCCGCTCCGGATTGAAGCAAAAAGACCGATGAAGAGCCGGCGCGGCAGCTTCTTTACCGTTCCAAGAAAACATTCTGGCAGGGAGTCTCTCGCGGCCACGAGATCAAGGACGGGAATCTGATGGAGAAAAACCTTTCTGCTCAGAGGAATGCGATCATGAGTTCTCATCAGCTCCACGGATCGAGATCACCGATAGTTATTAGGTTGTTCGATGCTAACAGTACGACTAATTGTATAAGGAGCGATCCAGAAATGGCTGCGCAAGGGGAATCCCGACACAGCGAAGCGCAGCTGTCAAGGGTACAGGAGTCCTTCCCTGACCGCTGATAGATCGAGTTGTCATATCCAACAGGGAAATGGGAGAGAATAGCTTTTTCGAGGAGACCTCGCTCGACATCTGCGACCTTGTGCTGATTTTACTCTGCATGGTTCGGCCTGTCGGGATCCCTCGCTGTTCCCGCTCAGAAGAGTTTTTTAATAGGGCAGTTTCAGTCTCCGACTCCTTTCTACTTCGTCCGCCATCTGGACTTGACTCCCGCTCGAGCATTGGGGAAGTGAACGAAGTGGATTAGAAGAATTAGTCGAGAAATATGTATATCATAATCCGTGGGAGAGATATCGTTCCACGGAATCGAGACTATCCATTCCGATTGTGGATGTTCATGTCGTGTGATAGCGAAGCTCTGGAATCGATATCGATACCAGATTAATGGCGCTTACTTCGCGGCACCATGACGGCCGTCAAGGCCCATGGCACATTTCGGTACATCACTCTTCGAGCTGCAATGGAGAGTTTCCCAAACCGGAGCTCACCGCCGATCAAAGTATCGCTCGCAGGCTCGGAGTCGGGACCTGCGAATTCTTCTGAGAGCTTAAAGCGAAATCGCCCCATCGGACGTGCCGCGGATCTTCCCTTGACCGCCACGTCTTGCCCGTTGGCCAGGTTCGATTGCATGCCTTACAAAAGAAAATCCCTGATTACGCTGAGTGTGAGTTCTGCCAAATGAATTTCTCGAGGGAGGACCCGCAGCTCGCAGAGAGATAGCCTGTGTAGAAACCGAGTTCGACACCTTCGAACAGGCTCGGTGACCTTGTACTGAATCCTTGGCCACTGTGCTTCCCCCTGACTCTCCGATGCGCCCGAACAGGTAGACTTTCAGCTCAGAACGATCGATCGGTCAACTCCTCAAATGCCAGATGTGATCTTGGTGATGTCATATCCGACGAAACCAGAAACTGATATTCTCGTAGGATAATTCTACTGGGAAGGATTAATCGTTTCTCCGGATCGTCTCAGTCGTGCTTGGATACAAGATTCTTGGGCTCGACAACTTCTAAGACGTGCTCGGTGACGGCGCCGCAGTGGGGAATCCTAGAAGTGTCGCCTGAGATAAGAGCCAAACATCTACATCTTGTTTAAATTCCGCTGTGGAATTCCCACGGTCGATGTCACCATCGATCTGAATAGAATGCTTCCAGGGAGCGATTTCGAGCAATCAGAGAGCGCGCGATCCCGCAGCTCCCCGAAAAGGATTCCCCGCCACTCCATCTACCTCCCATACTAAGTATTTCGAAGCGGCCATTTTGATCGGGAGAGACTTATCATTCCTCTATTTACGTTCCTTCATGGCCGCTGAAGGCGGGAGCCGAGCCCCAGCCCCTTGCGGTTCCAGATCGCCTCTCGCCAAACCCCACTGAAAGAACTCGTCGTCGCAGTATCCGTCGCTTGCGTGTCTCCAGCTCGGGGGGTCGAGACGCGCTTCCCCCGTTAGGCTGAATATTCCCTACGTTTCGGTCCCATAAATACTGAAGAAATTCCGAGCGGATCGAATCACCGAAAGCATGATGTGGAAGTCCATTCCCTCGAGTTCATCTTTCTGTATGTGCCTCCAAGCATTCCATTCGCATGTGTCTGTTCTCGACGGCTCCGAGCATAGTATGTGTCTGCATCGTTGCCCTACAGCTCATCGCGGATATCGGATATGCTTGAAGTTAATCGCTCGTAACGGATGATTTAATATCACGTGGCCTCCTGCCGACGATTGCATCCGTCATACACCCGAAACACTACGCCATGAAGATGACCTATCGCATCGTTCATTGGATTTCGCTGTCTCGGAGAATTCCGCTCTTCTCCCTACCCGGAATCGATCTTCAGAAAGAATCAATCGCTCGGCGAATCCCTCTTCCAATAATGAAATCGGAGCTCCCGCTCAATCCGGGCCGTGGAATACTGTTGTGAGGAGAATCGGGACTCTTTGTTTATTTCTGCGACTCTGGCTCCTTCTACAAAGGTCAGCGCTCTCGGAGTTTCGGCCTCTGTGACTTCCGTGCGGAGAGTATCTGCTCGCGTTTCTCACAAACATCGATGGTTACAGATCAGAGTCCAGGATCGGATCCCGGATCACACGCGTCTCGGACCAGTCCGTTCGGATATTTTTCGTCTATCATCTGCCGCACTATCACAGACTCCACAATCTAAGTCGTGGGAGATCTGATGTGAGCTTCCCCGCACAAGCGCCGCAAGAATGTCTGGGAATGATCTGCGCGCTAACGGTCCAGCTCACACGACTGTATGCACGGCCATGCGAGACGAGGCTTCTGGACATCATCCTCATCTCATCTTTCCATTGTCTATTGCGAATTTTTACGGTGCGAAGCAAAGAATTCGGAGCGATAGACGCTCGACTAGACTACGCGCTCCAGATGGATAATCGCTATTCGAATACTCGGAATCAACTGGAAAGTGTCTCTTTTAACGAGCCGTGCCGTTTCGCCCGTGAATGGAGGAATTAGGTTCGTTAAGCGACGCCTCAGGTAAAAAGCTGCACCTAAAGCTCCATGATGAAAATAGAAACACTCCTTGCTGAGACCAAGGTTCTAAAGTCCTGATGCCGAGGTTACACATGAGCTAATGCTCCACGCTTCCATAATTGAGTTTCCGCCACCGAGCTGGCTCGCTGTTTGAGCGCCCAGTCTCGACGCGCGTAACCTCTTTGAGAGGGGTCGTTTGCTTGAATGGTTATATGAGCGTTTATACATTGGGTCACACGCTCGGTCGGTACCTACTAGCAAACCCCTTTGGGGCCTCAGTCGTCTTTAAACAACAGGCGCTCTTCGAACTCTCTCCAACTGATTCTCTCGCTGACTGATTGAAACGGGGTCCGAGTAACTACGCTTCCATTCGCTGATTTGATGAGGGAGGCGGCTTGGCTCGGGTGGAATTGTGGGATTTATTGAGAGAAACGACTTGGTTCCGGGAAAATATGACGAATTGCAGAAGGAGACCATGCTCCAATCGCCTGATGATTCCGCATAAGGGTGAGACCAGGAGTACAGAACGATGATTGTCATACTGAGAGATCATTGTCAGAGGTCTCAGGTTATTGACATCTCGCTCAGACTGCGAACTTTTCGACGGAAGTTTCATCGGCGTTGAAGGGTCCAGGATATGCCCGCTGAGAATGTACAAGACGTATCAGGTATTTATCATCGAAGTGTCACGCTCAATATCATATTTGCCATCTGCCACATTTGCCATGTCGAAGGCTCATGCATCGAAGTACGGTTCTGGCCAGTCTCCGAAAAACCGGCGGAGAGCCCCGATCCATTCTTCTGTTCCATTTCCAGAAATCCGGATTTCTGATTCTGGGTCGAAGATGCTTGCTTCGCAGAATGGAAAGCGGGGCATGGGGTCCGCGACTTTCCGCTCCGAAGCATGACAAGAGGCCGGCACAAACCGATACATGGGCCTCTGATGGGTAGCTGCTCGGACTCTTCCATCGATTATTTCAGCTTTCGCCTGCTTGATACGCATGCGTTGTTTCTATACAAGGTTCAGACTCTCCTCTTGTGTACACAAGCCCCGGGAATCTCGTTTTTCCGCTCCACTCCGAGAAATTCGAGAATCCATCGCATCTTTTCGTCTCAGGCTTTCTCCACAAGATCAGGAGCTGGAGCGAGGTGCGAGCTGAGATTTTCGCTCTGTGGTCGCTCGCGGGACCCAGCCGACTCGCCCCCCGGGTCTGCTGACGAGCCGACATCCAAAGTTATTCCCCGTATCGGAGCGAGGCATTGGTTTTCAGGCCGACTCTAGCTCACAGAGTCGCTGTCGAGGAGAGTATGATCTGTACAGGATGATAAATAAATTCCTAGGTCTACTTGGCAAAACTTGATGATTCCATCGGTCTGAGCTGATATAACCATGATTCCGGCCTTGAACAATGCGATGCTTACTTTCTCCCTACATGAAATCGATGCTCGATCTATATAAACGAGAACCTGTTCAAATTGGAAAACGTTCCTGTGACTGAATACCCGTCGATGTCACCGGAGCATCCGGACTCTTTCGAACGAAGCAATCGGCAATCGGAAATCCGTCTTTGAAACTCCGTCATGGCATCGAGACAAGTCCGCTTGATTGGATTAATAAAGCGAATCCGTCGAGAAGTCTGCGAGCCGCGCACTCAAGGATCTTTTTTTGCTTCACCCATTTCAAATCAATTATTGCTCCGTCATAACCAGTTCGCTTTGAGAAATTGAGTCTCACTCTTCGGTGACGGTCTCCTCGACTCAGCCGACGCGACCATGGAAGCGGACTCTGAGGAGCGGCTCGGACTTCGACCGTACCAAATCAAAGATGCATTTAGATCAACGAAGCAAATTGATCGATCTAGCCTCAAGGGTAGCGCTCAAGATATACTACACTGACATGTTGCATCAGTCTATCTCGCTCTCTCCCGGAGGAGTGTTACGTCCGCCAGGTAATCACGCCAAGCAAATGAAGCTTGAGCAGTGCATTCCTATTCTAGCTAGAGACTGGGCTCGCGGGGGGAGGGGGGTCAGTTCAAGCTCGCTGATGAGGGGAATCGAAAAACAGTTCCGGTATCCATTCGACCAAGCTGTGAAGAGCTCCACCACGAAGTTGCTCTTCAATCTCCTGTGGATGTTTGATATCTATAGATGTAAGACAATCACGAAGATAAACGTAAGGTATTCCGACTTCAGAGATGCAACTCTCCAGAGATTCGCAATGTCCCCCTTGTGAAGAAAATTGTTTTCATTCTTTGAACCGACCCCACTCCTTTCAACGAAGACGGACTGGATCGTGTCTATGGGAACGACGAGAACCGCCAAAAAATTTATTATTAAGTATCACCCGGAGAGTACTCTACATGGTGGTAAGGCTCCACGTACTATACCTATGCAAGAAGTGCATCACTATAAGCACAGCATGTCTCCCGTCCTCTGGTGAATAGGCTCCATAGACCCTGCATCCCATCACTGCAATCGCTTTTTCAAGGATCGTGGAGTCCCGTCCATATTGTAGTGACATTTTCCCCAAGGAGCCAACTCGATCGCTCGTACCCTAGGAGCGCACAGAGAAAGCTCCCAGGCCGAGTCCTCCGATTATCAGTCGATAGCAAAAAGGCTATCTCGGTTTTTCGGATGGAGGGAGACAGGACCAACTCGCTATCGGCTCCGCCTCTCAAAGCCTTGTGGTCCGATCAACTCTGTATCTTTCGACGTGAACACTTTCGTCATTATCACACGGAGAAGTTGATAGATTGAAGGGAAACTTTAGACTCCAAACCATTCAACCACAGCCCTCCTCACTATATATTACGAAGATACCTCCTGAAAGCCCCGATTCCATCCATAACGATTCTCTTCCGACTTGGTTCACTGTACGAGTGCTGGGAGTATTCCACGAACGCGAGACCGCCGTGTTCAGAAAGGATCATCCTGATAAGTTCAAGTACTATATTGGACCCCGAAAGCTTCGAGCATGCCTACTTCCTCGCTCACAGCGAGAAGCTTCTCCCCGAGTCAAAGAATCCATCGAGGTCCGATCCTTTCCCCGCAGAGAGCAATTGCTTTCCCTGAGACTAGTCCCGCGCTCCATTTTTCCCCGAATAGTCCTATGAGATCACTTGGCATCGGCATCACTCGCCCTTCTCGTGTCTGGGATTGAGTTTCTCGCTAGAAGACCTGTTGAATTCAATAAAATGTCGGAGGTCCTCATCGACCGGTCCACTGAACGGTTTCGTATCGATACCAGACTCGCGAAGTTTCTCGATGGCATCTTCTTTCGCGGTGAAGGTAGCTTTTACAAACATAACAGCTTTGATGAAATCATCTGATAGTCCTATCATTTTCTGCTCAAAGTAGTAATCCCGACCTTCGATGTACGCGATCTGCAACAAAGACATCTTCGAGGAGCGTCAAAGCCAAGGGATAAGCGAGGACGTTTCCCTGATAGTTGGATGAGGATGGATATCCGATGCTCCCGACAACTCTATTCTTGACTTACCTTCGTGAGGATTTTGTACCGCTCGAAACAGCGCACCTGGCGTCGGTAACGAATCACCGCTGCCGACACAACGTAGAACTTCCCATCCCTCGCGGAATCCAGCAGACTTGGCAGGAGTCCAGTTTCCCCGACGAAAATGGCGCGACTGTACTCGAAGACTCGGAGGTATTTCGCGTGGTTCATATGGTACATATAATCGATGTCAAACGGTAAACACACCCCTGGAAGAAGGAGGGATGTATTCATTAGTTCTTGGAAGTCTTCTCGGTCAGTCTCTCCTTGGGAACAGTAGAATGCCGAGATCGCATATCGAGACGTCCAGATTTCCACCCCCCCGAGATTTGCTGTCGAAGAGTCTATTTTCCCCTGAACCGCGTCGACTGCCGTGATTGATGAGATCGTCCCGGAATTCTTCCCTGCGCTATTGGGCGCGAAAATTCAGAGACGGCATGTCGGACGAAATTCTATGTCCTGTCCGGAGTTCGGACTCCAGGCTCCATTGAGGACGGCGAATCGTGCAATCACTCGAGGAACAAAATGGAATTTCCCGATTCACCATGCACTATGTTCATCTGATTACGGGAGATTTCGAAACTGAACGAGATTCCGTGAAGCCGGATGGGAGTACTCGCTCTGACGGGCCGGAAGTCCGGCGTATCCGCTCTTGGATGCTGAAGAAACTCGTCGCGCGTTCTATGCTTCCGGCCTTGCGCGTCGTTTCTGGTCCGAAGACCTCTTTCCCGCTCGCCGCGAGAATATTTTTGAAACGATTTCGCAACGTCACCCGGTATAGGGCAGAGAAAGAAAGCTCGGGACTTTCCGACCCTCAGAAGTATGGGACCTGATGCTTGATAGAGCCACGCAGTTCGGGTTTCCATTCACAGAGAAGACGAACATCCTGTTTTCCCCTTTAAGTTTTATGCTCTTATTTGTCTCCGAGGAAAGTGGAAGATCATCAAATTCTTCGTTTCTCTTTCGGCTGCCAAATTCTCATTGCGGAAGTCAGCCAGCGTTGAGCGAACGCAGCGTTCAGTCACGCAGTATAAACTTTCAGATGTTTCTGGAGCAAATACTCAGACCCATGGATTCCTTTTCAGCTCAAACTCCGCTCCGATAATAGCGCGCCAGCACTTGGACAGGATCGTAGACACGTACCGGTAGCAAGATAGTGAAAATGGCGATAATTGGATCGAGGAATATCGCCTGGCTCATTCTTAGTGCTACATACGTAGCGATACAACTCCATATAGCAGGAGGAATTGCGGAGATAGGGACGTTTCCCGCAGTGTGAGACCGCCAAGACCACCAACAGAGCCGGGTTCTGAGGTAGATGATCGGAGACGAGCGCCGAGACTGTCCTCTCTCTGAGTCGACTACCCTCGGCCAAGACCAAGGCCGCCTGATCTGCCACCTCACTCGGAACTTCTCACTCGTCGCCTCCCGAATTCGACACCCTATTATCACATAGCCGTGGCTGGCTAGAACGACCCCGAGTCAGCGACCATCGAAGGATTCGAAGGCGAATCCTACGGACGAGAAACCAGCGCACATGTTTCCCGCGTGTTTAAACTATCCACTTTTTGACATTGAGCCCGGCCCGTCTAGCCATGATCAGACAGTATAGATTGAGGGCACTCACCGTAGTTGACAACTTCTTCGTGAAGCTCTCTCCTTTTTTTCCAGATACCCCACACATAGGGATAGGTTTGGAGCCAAACTTTCATGAAATAACTCACGTCAATGAGGAAACACAAAACCGCCAGAGCTATCGAAATGAGACCCATGTTTCCCGGTAGAAGCGGGAGCAACAGCCGGATCGTCGCGACGAGGAAAAGACACCCGTTATCGGAACCTCTGCGAAATCAACTCCGATCCGGCAGTACGCTCTGCAAATGATGTTAGCCGATGTCTTCTGCTGTTCGTGTGAATCTTTACGTTCGGACCCGCGCGCCACCCGACGGTCGCAAGAGAAACTAACCTGGAAGGGCGCGCTGTAAACCTACGGCAATCGACAGCACTTGGAAAACCGCGGAGCAGAAATGACGCTCTCGGTAAAATAATACATGTGGTGGACTGTCCAGATGTACCGAATTCTTCATATTCGTTCCATGTACATATGTCTTTCGATGACTGCATGATCGGATAACACTCTGAACGCCGGCACCAAGAAAGCGATATCTCGTGACCGATTCGCGTGCGAGAGATCTGGAGACGCTTTTTCGGGCCGAATTTTCCTGACTCATAGGCAGGAACGTTTCGGGGATAGAGCTGCCGCTAGAGCCTTCCTCCCGCAAAGATTTCCTCCTCTTTTAGCGAGCGATGTCTGATCCGAGGCTATATCGCCGGATGATTCATACGCATTGGGAGCGCGCTGAAGAGAATTTTGAGCTTTCGAGTCGGCTCATGAAACCTGGAGGACGAATCTGTCACTCCCCTCCCCTCAGCCTCGTCAATGTTCTATCGAGCAAACGACCAATGATAATGGTATGGGTGCATGGAGAATTCTAGCTGACATACCTATTGCTCTCACAATCAGTCCTCATATGAGGATTCCCGCCCACCTCGTAGCCCTTGGCGTAGGGCAGGATCCCCGGGATGTTGATCCTCGGAGCGAAGTCGCCTGGATCTCCGCGATTCCGTGGAGCTTACGTATACAGAGTTTCAGGAAGTTGGGCTTCGATTCCGTCGCGCCTTCTGGCTCACTCGGGTTGAGTCGAGGTTCCCGAACATCTCTCCCGATCAGCCACTATCCAACTCTTAGAGCATCGTTCTACCATGATCAGGCGCGTCCATACGATTTTTTTTT